TGGCTAGACAATTAACTTGCGAGCAAATCGTGTTAACCAGTTAGCGAAAGCCTTGCTGAGTAAACTGAATAAATATTTTATTACTTGTATTCTATATCCGTTAATTTTTAATTTTTGTCTTTGTTGTTATTGCGTCTGTAACTTATCTATGTATATAGGTATATGCACATTTGTTTTCCGCGCCCTAAAATTTCTATTTAAATACACTGTCTACACTTCCAGTAAAATGAAGCTTCCAGTCGTACCAACAGGCCTGCCTACACACGATTCCACTACAATCGCCAACACATAATCATAGTTGAACACGAACCGCCAGGCTATGAATGGCACTTGAAATACATTTTGACTGCGTCAGTTGCAATTTTTTTTTTCTTCTTTAATTTTAGCTTACTCTCTTTCTCTCAATCGCTGGATGTCTCTCTTTCTTGTTTTGCATTTTTCTGTTACTCTTTGGCGCGCAAAAACCATCTTCCTTGCCAATCCGCCGCTGCCACCTTTTCACCTTGGCTATTCTTGTACTATTCAGTGCTCATGTTTGGGGTATTCATGCCATCAACCATCCAGCCAACCATCCACTTGTAGTCGTCATCATCGTCGTTACACCCACCCCCATTCTTCTATTACATCATCGCTTATATACTCTTACAGTTTCAGCCAGCTTGGCGCGTGAATGTTTCGAGCACAGCCTCGACTTTGACGAATATGCAGTGAGCGAGAGCTTGGCGGGCAATGGCCCGACTGAGCATCAGCAAGAAGGAAGTGTTGTGCAGTGCATCGGACGTACGAGTGTGGAATGTGCATAGAGGGAGAAATACACTTAATACTCTGCTGGCTGGTAGTTTCTATATATCAATAATTGTATGCAGTTGTATGTACATGCACATGCATATATGTAAGTATGTATGATGCTTGCTTTTGAACTCCCGCTCTTCACGCACTTGCAGACATGATACTCAAGCTCGTCCATTACCATCGCACCCAACCAAAAATGGCAATCATAACCAAGTGGGAGAGCAGCTTTAAAAACATTCTCGTTGCTAATCAGACCAGCGTCGAGTAGGACGGGCATTATTAAGGACTTCCCTATCCTTACACTTTGTATCCTATTTTATTTAATTTGTTTTGCTTGAACACAGAAAGACTTGTAAGTTTCATTCTATGTAAAACGAGGCTGCGAGTATATAACCATATTCTTTTCTTGCCTCTTTCGGTTGCTTCAGTGTTAGGCCCTGTTCGATCGTTTATCGTCGAAGGTATATCCGAAAATAGGTTGCTTCGAAGTAACGGTGTACTTTATTCCAACTGCCATTTTCCAATCCCAAAACATATTTTGTGACAAATAATGACTTTTGGATCAGATATTGTGCAAAATTCAGCTGCGATTATGATAAATTTGATGTCATTGGTTTACCGCGACTCTAGTTTGGGAAAAACCATTGCGTACATATGACACAGCTTGTTTAAACAAGGAAGGGAATCACTTGAAGATTTCACGCGGCCGAGCATTGAGGTGACCACGCCAAAATTTTTCCAAAAAGTTGAAAAAAATGTCCGTGAAGTTGTTCGACTGAAGAAGAAGGAACACGCAGAAATGGTTAGAGTATCCGATACAACCATTTTTTATATCCTACACGTTCATCTTGTCATAACTGAGGTCAGCGCAAGATGGCTACCGAGTGTGCTCGGCAAAATCAAAAGCGCGTAGAGAGTACAGGTGTATATTTGGATCAGTAATAAAGTAATCGATGATGTCTTGAGTCGAATTTTTCCTGAGACGAAACATGGACCGATCATTATGAACCATCGTCGAAATAGGACACCTTGCGGTGACATAAAAAGAGCACAGCATCTCCCAAGAAGTTCATGGTTTTTGGACTCGGAATGAATATTATTCATTGATTATATAAATAAAGGTGTTTCCATAACTGCAGAGTAAACCGCTTCATGTTTAGAGCGACCACAAAAAAATGCATTAAAGAGAAAGCTCGGCGAAAATTGACCAGAGATGCGTTGTTTTTGCACGATAACGCAGCTGTGCACCAGAGTGGCATGGCGCCGACTGCCCTGCATGAAGTAGGCTTCGATATATTGAATCAAAGGCCAGACCTGGCCCCGTGTGATTATTACCTAATTCCAAATGGCCAAGGGGTAGAAAATTTGTCACTGATGTTGAAGTCATGGATGCAGTTTCGGTGTATTTTGGACCTAAAGAGAATACAGTTTTTAATGCGAGCATAAGTAAATAAATTGAAATATCGGAAAAATGTATCCATCTTGCAGATGAAAAGGAAAAATAATATTTTTTTTATACAATATTTCCACCCCTTATACCCCATCCAACGCTCCCTGGTTTATTTAAAGTTCATAACCCTTTTGCTTGCACCGTAGATATGCATAAATGTGATGAATTAAATTTTGAAAAATCTGAAATTCCATTTCCTTGCTTCACAATAATTCCATTTCGTTGAGTTCAATCACTTGTGCGAATTAAATTTGCCGAAAGAGGAGTGTATTTATAGCGGTTATTGTCAATCTACTATTTATACGAGCCACATTGAGTTGGCTGTCCTTGTGGACTGTTATGTTGGTTACATCCTTCGACCAGTAGAATTTTTCGTTGTTGTTGTTTCTCTTTTTTTTATGCTACTGCCATTCTGTCTGGCTGTGTTCACTTTCGCAACTTCACTTTGCATGCCAACAAACAACAACAGAGCAGACGTGCTTGTTTCTGACTGGCATTGTAGTACAAAATTCAACGTCATGGCAGTGCCGATTGCAATTTTTTTTTTTTTTTTTTTTTTTTTGTTGCTCAGATCGTTTTTGCTACAAATTGAAGGACGAACGAACGGAAAGGATACTTGTTAAATAAGTTAGACTTAACGGATGGCAATGACTACTGTACTACCACGCCCATCAAGCACGCCCAATAACGAATGTTTTTTTTTTTCTATTTGTTTTGTTTTGTTTTTGCTTTGTTATGTTGTGCAACAATTTGTTGATGTAAAGGTGACGATGTTGCAATACTTTTGATGGTATTTACATATACATATGTATATGTTATGCATATGTATGTATGTGTTTAGTTGGTTGTAGTTGTTGATGCAAGTGGGGGTGTACTCATCATTTGCGGTTATACGTAGCTTTCCACCCTCTTCGCCCAAAGTTAGTTGGTAACAGCATTCAACAGAGGCGATGATGGCATCTAATTGTTGACATGACATATCTGATTTTTTCATGAGATAAATTCGTGACTTTTGCATCACATGAGCTCACGGAAGCGCTTCAAACAAAACACATACATACATACTTATACATTTGTATGCATATTATGAATATGAAGCGCAGTGTTTGTCGGTGTGCAGAGCTCATATCTGCTTTAAATGGAGGAAAGTTGGTGGAATGGCTGGAATGTAGTTGATATAGAAAAAAGTTTAAGCACCAAATTGTCGACTCAGTAAACAATTTCCTTTGGAATTTTTTTTTTTTTTTGTTAAATTCAAAATTGTCCCAAAAAGCCATAAAAAAAAGTTTCTCGCAGTAAGGCATGCCTGTCGTAAGAGGCAACGCAAATGCATTTGTTCCCGCGAATTAAAACCTAAAGTTCTCGCAGCAATCGGGTCTTTATAACGGAACAACTTGGGGTTTTATTCGTCCAAGGACTGTCACCCACACAAGATTCCCCAAAGAGTACTTTGTGTAATATTTTTTACTGCTACAACAACAACATTAAAGATATCTAAATCCCTGTTTCTTACATTCTTGGCCAAATTTCATTACTTTTTTTTTATTATTATTATTTTTATTTTTATTTTTTTTTTTTTGCAATCTAAAAGTTAGAAGTTAGCTCAAAGCTGGATTTTTTTTCGGAGTTGGTTTTTTTTGGTTCTTTTATATTCAGTTTCAATGTGAAGACTTACTCCGGAACGACGTTTGCAAATTGCACAAATTTATCACCAAAATAAAGTATCGCGCACTGCGTCCAATATTCAGTCGAGATAATCGCCCAGTAGTATCGGCAATTCGAGCAGCAATCATGAGTCGGTTTCGAACCACCTCTTCTTACGGATATAATGCGCACCCTCAGAGAGGCCAAAAAGTGCACACTGAAGAGCTATTGATGCCCCGGAACATTGTGAAGTATCGAGGAAGACCACAATGAGTCCGTCCGCGCTTAACAAATTATGCTGTGCCCATCCGCTTTATGGAATATTTTGCGGAGGGAGAATGGTTTGCGGCATTACAAAATCCAACTCGTGCAAGGACGATCAGGTGGGTCGCATACTTTGTGAAAAGGACCAAAAGCAAGTAGCCACCGATGTCGAATTTCACAAGAAAATTGTTATCAACGATGAAGTAGCTCCTTTTTAGTTGAATTCGTTAATAAACAAAATTTTCGGATCTTGAGTGATGATAATCGACACGACATTGTTGCGTCGCCGCTACAGCCTATCGCTCTTTTGTGTGTCCTATGGCCAGAGGGAATTATTGGTCGATAATTCTTCAAAAATTAGTCATTGGGGAACACTGTAGAGCCGTTATTAATGCCTCTTTTGTGTCTAAATTCGAGGTTGTTGCGACCTTTGATTCCAACAAAACGGCGCCACATGCCATACAGCCAGCGAAGCCATCAAGTTATTGAAAGCATTTTGTGGTGAGCGAATTATCTCCCAACGTGAACCTATGGGCTGGCCTCCTAAATTGTGCGCCTTAAAACCGCTGGACTCTTTTTTGTAGGGTTATGTGAAGTCGCTTTTCCAGTCAAAAATTGGGCCTCTCAGCTGGAAGTTATTCGAATCAGCCACGGTCATGATCACTTGCCCGAAATCACTTTAAAAAAAAGAGCAAAATTCTTGTTTTTAGCGTCAAATTATAAGTCTTTTAATTCTTCTTGAAAATAACATGCCTGCTGGGTAATGCTAAATTTCATAAAAATTATTTGAAAACTAAATTTTACTCTTTATTAAAACAGTTCTAAAAACCAATTTTTTGTTTACTTGCAGTTGCCTCCATTCAAACAATATTAAATATTTCAACACCAGTTTTGGAGCCAACGCCAATTATTGCTGTTATCCATCGACTACGTAATTCGGTCATAGTATAATAATATAGTTCCACCAGCAGCACTCCGAGAGGCTGCTTCTCCAGACTGCACCACAACGAATGTGGCTGCCAAAGTTTGCCTCAATGTCGCTTGCAACGTTAACTGAAAGATGGTCAAAGCGGTCACAGCGCGAGCAACAGCAACAACAGCCGCATTGTACGTAGCAAATCAGCAATTGCAGTTACAACAGGATCAGCCAAACGCCAAGAACGCGACACAACAACAGCAGCAACAGCAAAGAGAGCAGAACTATTTCTTTACGCCGCAATCGCAGCGAAGTCAAAAGCATAGCTCTGCTGTCGACGCTGAGGTGGTGGAGGAGGGGGAGCCGTGTGGCAAACGTATTGCTGTTGCGTCGCCCAGCAAAATGGTAATACCATCATCGGCCGCAACAGCAGTAACAAACAGCAGCAGCACATCAACAGCGGCATCCACGTCCACTGCAACTGGAGTAGCAACGCATAACAGTAATACGAACGCTGCCGGTCAGCAACAACAACAACAACAAAATGCTCTCTATCAACAGCAACAACAACAGCACCCGCCCACTAACACCAACAACCAACAGACGGCACCACGCCAGCATCCCAAAAAGCGGAAGTTCGATCCGGCCGAGCTGGATAGGCAACAGCAAACCTCACCACAACCGCAGCCACAGCATGGCTCAGGCGCAACAACAACGTCGACAACGAACTCTACAACAACCACATCATGGGATGATAAAAATGCTATATCGGCGAATAAGAGCGCCAACGGAAATGCCAACACATCATCGTCGCTAAACTTGAAGAACGGCAATATTGCAGTTGCATCGTCAGCAGCGATGCCATCCACAACAACAGCTAATATTACTGTTACCAGCTGTGACAATAATCGCTCATGGTCGACGACAACAGCAACAGGTGCTTCAGAGATTACCGCGCCGACGGATATGCTCTATACCGCAATACGTTCGACTGCGCAACACCAGCAACTGCAACAGCAGCAGCATCATTCGCCAGCTACATCGATGATTGTAAGTCCCGTAGCTACGACGACGGCATATTCCAGCACTGCACTGCCGTCAGGTGTTGTAGTTGGCGCTGGCGCCAACAGTAGCTGTGTAACGGCGACTGGACGCGGCGCCACCTCGCTGGAGAGTCCCGAAAAACGTATTATCATTACAAGGTAAATACCAAATATATGAAGAAGAAGAATTATGAAATTTAATTTCTTTTTTTTTTTTTGTTTCGCACACAGCACCCAGCCGTCGAGTACTTACAAGCTGCAGAATGTTTTGAGTGTTGCTCACAATAGCAATAATAATCGTACGCTCACACCAACTAGCCATGCAGCGTTGCAACAACAACAACAACAGCAACAGCAGCAGCGTCTCGCCTACCAGCACCACATTCAGCAAACGCATACAGTAGTGGCCACGCAACAGCAGCCACAACAACAAATGCAAGTAGCCAATTTAGATCTCAGCGAATGGTCAAACACGCGCGTGTTGGCCAAATTAAATAACTTCTATGCATCCGGTATTATACGCCAAACGTCTTCATCGTACAATGGCAACAGCAACAGTAGCGCCGACGGGCCATTCTCGTCGTCCAACGGCAGGCCGCCATCGGCTGCAACACCAAATTCAATTACTGTGGAGTTCGATCCGCCAGAAAATTGCACGCAACATTATACAGATGTTTTGGGCAATGGGCGTTTCAATGTGATATTGGACGCGAGTCCACCATTAGCTGATGTAAGTCAAAATTTTAAATGGTTTTCAGCTGGAATAATTAAAATAATTAATCGAATATTGTACTGTGTATTCAGGAGGATAAAGCTCAATGGTAGATTTCGGCGCTGCTAATTATACTTTTAACGAATCGAAAATAAAATTATGATTTTGATGAAAGCTCTCGAAAGCTCAGATGTCGAAAATATTAAGATGGCTGACCCTTTTCCTCTGTCCATCAATTATAATAGAAATGTATGCTTAATTTTTATTAATGGAATAGCTGAGGAATGGTCAAGGGTTCGAAAGAAATATTTTAGAAAATTAATTTAAAAAATAAAAGAAATTGTTCTAACGGCCTTAACCCGCAAAGTATTGCCTCACATACAAACGATTGGTGAAATATTGACAGCGCGATTTTTTTAAGTAGTCGAAATCCTTCAAAGGAAGCGTAAAGAAAGCTCTGCACACTTAAGACGAAAGTAGAATTTTGAATTCCATATTTGATTCCCAATCGATTTTATGATTCCATTAGAAAATATATTTAAATAGTTTTAAAAACGTTACTGAATTGTGGAGAACTTTTCTCCTGCATCCTGTGTAAATTATTGACAGAGAAAGTCGTTTTTGAACCGCTAAAGCGATTCTCAATCGATCTCATCTTCTAATTATTGCTTTGCGCTTTGATTTCTTTCAAACAGATGACGGGACCTACGTTTTATCCTATGCCGCCTCCGTATGGCCGATGAGGAGCTTTTTTTATTTATACCAGAAATACACTATTCCCTGTAGAGGGAAGAAAATTAAATTTAAATTAATTTATTTTCTATTATTTTTAGATGTTGATCCGGCCAGGACTTGAAACCTGGTCTTCCGAATGTTAGAAAGTCATCAAATTCAGAACAATTTTAAATATAGTTTATTGTGTACATACGAGATTTGGGTTCAAAATCCTCCTTGAGAGAAATATATGTTGTTTTCCTTTTGTACGAAGTATGTTAATACCATAAAAATAGAGAGAGGCACCAAAAATTATACCGATCGTATCAGGATGACGAGCTAAGTTGATTTATGCATTTCCGTCTGTCCGTTTGTTTCTACGCAAATTAGTTCCTAAACTTTTGAGAGATTTCAATCAAACTTGGTACACATATGCAGCGTTACATGTGCCAGATTTTAGATATTGAATCATAAATTCGTTCTAAAAGCATTTACACACGTATGATGATTTACACCAAACGGACGAATATTACATGGAGCTCTTATACATCGATTTTTTCAGATGTGAGGCTTAGGTAAAACCCCGTCAAAATAACATCTGAAAGTATGAAATTTGGTTTCTACCTTCTGTTTTAACGTTATCCATGAAAATCATCGAAATCGTAGGACTATATTACGTAGTTCCCATACTGATTTCTTAAAATATGAGGCTTTTGGGAAAAAATTAGCCTTTAAAAGCGCGAAATTTGGCATTCCTAACACGTAAATTCAAATAAATAATGGCACTGAAAGTCATATATCGGCACTATAACTGATTTTTCAGATAGGAGAATAAATATAATATAATCCGAAAACGCTACAGAATAAACTTGGTACATCCATGAAAGGTATAAAGACTTCTGCGTAGCCGAAGACGGCACTTCCTTTTTGTTTGAAATATATTTAAAGTGTTATTAGGATTTTGTACTCAGCTATTAATCATATGCGATAATTGGGCTAACGAAAAGCATAGTCAGTTGCGTAATTAATATAATATTATTTTTGTAATTGCTTCAGATTCACTTGGATATGAGAGTTTGTGTGCGCAGTCAAATTGAAGGACGATCGGGTTACGTTTTCGTGGAGGGCACAGTGACGGAAATTAATACAAATACCAAACAATTTACTGTTCAAATACATGCGGATCCAACGCCAATAGTAAGTATTTACATAATATACAGGGTTTTCCAATAAGAGGTATTATTTTGATATGCAAAAAAACTTTTCCCATAAAAGGTTGATGATTACTATTCCATTACCATATACCGCACAAATAGTTTATTATTGAAGTTGTTGTAGAGTCCTTTCAAACTGATTTTAATTTAATTTTTATATTTGCTTGCTGAATTTTAATCATTTCAATGCGTTGTTGAAGCGTGTATCGCTCCATTCTTATTAATGGCGTAGTTTTTGCTTGTAAAATGTCAAAGTATTACAACTTCAAAAATGATATTTACCGCTATTCATAGTAACACCTTTTATTGGGAAATCCTTTATTTTATATACCCTAACGCATAAATTTTTAAAATTCATTTTATATAATTCAATTTTATATTTACTTAATTGAAAAATTCCTCAATATCTCATTTTACAGTTTAAAACGGTGAAACGCGCTGATCTCCGACTTCTCTTACCACCATGGTGGGACGAGTTACGTGAACTTTCTTCACCTTCGCCACAGCAGCAACACCAACCACTTGCGCAAAAACACTCTGCATTGCTTACACCGCCACATCAGCATCGCAATGTCGGTAGCAGTGGTACACCAGTGTCGTCACACAAAAATAGCGCCAGCCACCAACACCCACAATTGACTTACGTTTCGACGCGTTTCGATGGCAAGTGCGCAACACATCTCACAACTAGCGGCACACAACTACCACCACATATGTCGTCGTCATATAACGTCGCCCAACAACAGCATCTACAAAAACAAGATGAGTATTATCGCACGACAGCCACCTCGCCCTTTCAGTCTGTCGGTGGCAATGGGCAGTCAGGAACGATTGGCAAATTAAACGGCAATGGCAATATTGCTGCTGCATCGTCAGTGCCAGAAATTGTTGTAACACAACAGCAATTACAGTTTAACAGCAGCAGCGGCAGCAGCAGTCATCAACCACACGCGCAACATTCATCGGTAGCCGCACTCTCACAATCGCCTTCGGATGATCTGCAGCGCCGGCAATCACGTCAGTATGATGAGTTCGAGTCGGATGATGAATTGAAGGGTGTGCAAATTGATGGCTACACGCTGGGCGACGGTGATCCTGAGAAGCTGTCGGCGGGCAGCAAACGCAGCAGTGTTCAGAGTCGTGGCAGCACTTCAAGCACCCCAAGGTAATGAATGCTTCAATTATTTCAGTTATTTATTTTGAGAGTATTTCATTGACTCCTCGCACGCTTGCAGATCTCAAGCTACCACACCACATCGCTTTAAAAAGGGTGATATTGTTCAATCGGAATCTGGTGTGCGCAAAAAATACAATGGCAAACAATGGCGTCGCCTGTGTGGCATGTGCTCCAAGGAATCTCAGCGACGTGGCTTGTGCTCGCGCCATTTGAATCAGAAAGGCAATGCCTTACGGCCCAATGGTGCCAGTCGCTTTCCAGGGTAAGTGTAAGATTGCCTTTTAACTGTTGTTTGATTATTTAATTTTTATAATTCTTTTATGCACTTACTTAATAGCGATATGAATAGTCGTTCAAGCAGTAAGACACAAGCAGACGAAGACACTTCACGGGATTCGGAGACATCGCCTAATTATAGGGTAGCAGGACGCTCAGATCAGGAGGAAACTGATGTGGCTAATATTTTAGGTAAGCGTGAAATAAGAGTTCTAGTAATGGTTTGTATGTGTACGAAGGAAAATATGTCGAGATGTATAATTTAAGTGGCTCCACAGCACCACTAACCACTGTTTAACTTTTATGCCTCGAAACACTATCCTCCACTGGAAGGTGTTTCACTGATCTCATATGATGATGGTTGCTCAATATTGGCGTCTGACCGGTATATTGATTGGTTATGTTCGAAAGTGAACTGCTCTATCTCGATGAACATAATTACACGACGAGCTGCCACCAGCAAGGCTTTCGATTACAGCTACAGAAGCTGCAAATCTTTAAAGACACCGCGATCAGGATCTTGACAGAAAATCTCTTGATATCGCGAAAACATCACTTGTGTAGCGAAGCATCTATGCTACGAGTTACAGAGCTTAAAGTTTTGCTGTGCAAACAGTTAAAAGCCAAACCATAACCTAGACACATTTTACAGAGAGTACTTGATTTTAAGGACTACCACATTCAAAACCACCTACAATAGCCGCTGGACGGGACGGCTTACCGACATCAGTAAAGGTCATTTACCGAGACACCGTCAACACCTTCGTGAACTATCTTCCAGTGAATGACGCTGTCGGTGCCAAGCCACCACCTATTGCAGACGAAAAGCTCGAGCTGCACCGAGAGTATCGCGCAATAGTAACAAAACTTAGATCAGGATATTTTAGTCGACTTGAATCCTACCTATAATCTAACCTCCCTTTCCCTTCAGCCCTAAACCGTCGAAACAGCTCGCTTCGTGGACCTACAGCAACAACAACAACTTAAATGGTGTATGATTTCTTTCGATTCTGCCACAATGCAAACACGGGACAGAAAATTTAATTTTTTCGCTTAATAGCATAATTTGTAAACTTATGAAATCAGGATTTATTGTTCTAAGTTTTTAAATAAATAAAATAGCCTGACCAACTATCACCTGTCTGCCTCTAAACATTGTAAATATTCATATACATTTTTTCACTTCACAACAAATTCCTTTACAACTCCATCTTACTGCCGCAGAAACACTCTGTATTTTCTCATTTTCCATATCCCGAACCAAGAACAATACATAAATTCAGGTGAAATAGCTGTTGCGTGACAGTAAATTTGCACTGTGAGATGCGCACTTGGTGCATTGTTGTTATGCTCTCCAGAAATCTTTAGGTTCACTGCAGGTAAATGGCAAATGCACAAAAGAACAAGCCAAACAACAAAAGGAAAGGTGTGAAATGGCCATTGTTATAAGTATAAAGTTGTTGTAGTACTCAAGAATATACAAACAAAAAAAGGAAAATTATGAAAGATCAGTAGAGAGCAGACACTTGAAGTGGAATAACGAAAAGAAGTTACATATCGGAAGCGAAACGAAAAATATTTGTAGTCAGCTCAACCAAATCTTCTCAATTTAGTGTTAAATTAATAATTAATTTGGGAAATTGTGTTTTGTATAATTTTTAAAAACACATACATGCATACATACAGATACCGGTGACATTCAAGAGTGCAGTTGTTTTTGTTTTGTGTTTCTAATATAATATAATAGTTCACGTTCGTTGTCTCCATTCACACAGACACGCACACACACACATTTCCGTCCATTTATTCACATCTCCCAAATGAATATAAATATATTTTTGCCCAATGATGACGGCAGTTTATATCGCCAATGTTTACGTATGTAATCAGAAAATTATATTAATTTCGATTAAATAAATAAATTGAATTTTTAATTTTTCACTAACCCAACATCCATCTATCTTTGCACAGTGTCACTTAGCAGTTCACGTTCGGCCACGCCGAGCTACTCATCGCCCGTGAACCATGGCACCTCTCCGATGAATGTTACTCACTCTCCCGTGCCAGTCGTTTCTAATCGTCAAAATTTTTTCACACCAATCGGCGGTGGACCCGTTGTAACCGCCGAAGCGCAAACAGCAAAATGGAAGCCAGCAGCTAGCCCCATACAGTACGGCACAGTGGGCTATTCTCAAGTTATACGTCCCGAATCGGTGCGAGCCCAAGGCGCAACTGTTGCGCCACCACCGCAACAATCGCCCGTCTCCATGGTGGTGCATCACCAGACTGCAACTCTGCCAAGCACAGCAGCAGCTGCAGCCACCGCACATCTGCACGGAGCCAGTGGCAATGTACATCATTCCTCTATACAGCCAGCTCATCACCAGGCACCACCGCCGCCACAACCAACTGCTACAACGCAACAGCATTTGCAACAGCCGCCACTTGCACATGGCCATATGTCGCTGTCTCCAGCAGCGCCACCGCCACCGCAGCCGGCCGTTAGTAGTGCGGTGATTGCACCACCCCGACCACCAGGCTCTATGGTTACAGGTGTTGGTCATGCCACCACTAGTGTTATACGGATCTCACCTGCTGCTGCTGCTGCCGCGGCCGCCGCTGCAGCTGCTGCTGCTACCAACAACGGAAGTACAGCTAATGGTGCGCATGGAAGCAACGGCGCAGCACCAACATTGCCACAATCTTTTCATCCTGTCATAGTTGATCCCACACAACTGGTGCCATTACTCTCGACGGCAGGTGGCAACTCAGCGCTACAGACAGGTCAACCTACATTGGTTTCGATCAATAGCGGGTTAAGTGTAAGTGGCGCCAATGCTTCTCTTCTAGCCGCCGCTGCTCATCAACAACATTTACAAAATCAGGTGGCACATTCATCAATTACTAATGAAAAGACGATTCCAAAAAACGGTTCGTAAAAACAGTATTTGATTAAAATTTATATTTTTCAAAGATTTGAAATCATCTTTACGAATTTTGTTTCCATTTAGGATTTCCGCCGGGGTCGATATATCAATGGCAAACGCTGTTGCCCACCATCAGTCAGTCCCCCGTTAAACCGACCAATTTTACAATAGCCGGCATCATACCGCCAACGGCGGAAACACCACCACCACCACAACAACATCAACAACAGCAACAGCAAACAAATCAAGGAATTAATCTGGTAAATCACCATGGCGCTCACAACAGTCACAACAGTCACAACAACAACAGTTTAGGTTTGGGACGGTCTCTTGACATGGATTCAGCAGATAAACCGTTGAATTTTTCAACAAGTGATGCGGCCGCCATGGGTAGCACTTATAATGCAAATGGTTCATGTGCACCAGGTGGCAACGGGGGCAACAGCGTGTCACAGGACGACAACGATGATCAATTAGACGATGATGTGTTCGAGCCAACGACGACAGCTCATCCAAAGCCGAAGCATACACGTTTCGCCATCAACAGCAGCAGCGACAGTTACAGGTATAGCAATGCATCAGGAAGTAAGTGTAGCACTGATGGTATGGGTGAACCGAAAACACCAACAACTTCCGGCAACAGCGGAGCACCATCTAAGCGACGCTCACAATCGCTTAGTGCATTACAGCAACAGCAACAGAATTCAAAAGCGTCTGCAGGCGGTGCAGGAGGTAGTGTTATTGACAAGGAACCCTTAAGTCCAGAACCGGACAAAATTCGCCGACCGATGAACGCATTTATGATATTCTCGAAAAAACATCGCAAATTGGTACACAAAAAGCATCCAAACCAAGACAATCGCACGGTTAGTAAAATTCTCGGTGAATGGTGGTATGCGTTGAAGCCGGAGCAAAAAGCTAAGTATCATGAATTAGCTAGTTCTGTGAAGGATGCCCATTTCAAACTTCATCCGCATTGGAAATGGTGTTCAAAGGATCGTCGTAAATCATCCAGTTCTGGTAAAGGCGGTGTAGGTGGTGGACCCATGGATTGTAGTGATAGTATCGATCTGCCAATGCATAGCCCTGGTTCAACTGGTGCTTCAAGCAACGCCGCTGTCGACACTCAATGTGATATTATACCACTTACCATTGAAGAAACTCTCGGTCCTGTAAAAGAGGAAAAAACGCACGTAAAAACTGAGACAGCACAGACAAATGAAGTCCAGCAATTAGATGATGAGCAGGTATGTGTAATTTGTTACTAAAATGTTTCTTTTCAAATTATATGAATAATTTCTTTTTATATTATTTCAAGATGCTGGTGGACGATCCTGGAAAAACTAAGCCGAATTGTAATGACATTGGCAATGCTGATCTACAACAACATGACACTCCAGTAAAACAAATCGATTTAAAGTGTCGTGAACGTGTGACGGACTCAGATGTAGAGGATACAGCGTACGATTATAGAAAACCAGCAAAAACAACATCAACGATGAAAAGTGCTCAAAATAAAGGTGGAACAGAAAATGAAATGGTTAGTTCACAATTTTATTTAATTTGCCTGCCTTTATGTGCTTAAAAATTTGAACCTAAGTAAACATTTGCATTTTCCCTTACATTCTGAATAAATTTTATTTTTATTTCCAAAGGAGGAGACAAGTATAAAAAGTGAGAATCAAACAAAAGCGGACGAACTTACAGGTTCTAGCACAACTGGCAGCAATATGCCCAGCACCAGTGCTGAAAGAGAAATCACATTAAAGCCGAAAGCCATCAAACCAACATATGCCACCAGCATTGAAAGCAGTATTCTGAGTCCCCAGCAAATGCCAATGTATTCATATAATAGTCCGAAAAATCCAATCGGTGTAACACCATTCCAACCAACAGGCGAGCGCATTAAATTATAAGCTAATACAAACTTGAAAAGCGTTTGCAAGACTATCTAATATCTGCATATTTACATATATGCATACTTCTTGCAATACTTTCCAATTGTATTTCTATAATATGCTATTTTTAATCAACTCCTTGTATTTTTAGTGTAACAATATTTTGTTATTTTTATTCTGTTTGTTTAGGTGGTGCTTTCAAAACGATGCCTATAAGTCCGAAAAGCACAAAGTTAGACGAACAACAGTCAACACAAATGCATATAAAGCAAGAGGATATCAAGCAGGAGCTCACATCGCCGTACAAAATGAATGGTGGAGCCTCAAATGTAAATAACGTATTCACATTCAATGTGCCAATTAGTGCGGCTGCATGCCTGAATCAGAAACAACAACAGGCTACAGGACACCCATTGCGCAGTCCAAACACAATGGAGGGCAGTAAAGGTATGTTGAAAGTTGAATAAAAAAATTTAGATATATTGTATTTCATTTTCGGTATTTAAAATGTTTTAATTTTTTGTTTAATATTTTAATCTCAAAATGGAGATCGATTTTCCATATAGTTTTGCACGCTCATCAGAATGAATGGTATGCCGAAGTGAAACTGCAATAAAATTGGTAAAAATAAAAATAAAGCCAAAAGAGAAGTGCTATCTTCGGCCATGCCGAAGTCTTTATACCTTTCATAAATATATCCAATTTATTGTATTGCATTGTAGCATTAAATATTAATTCTCATATCTGAAAAACCGGTTGATATCGGACAACGATACTAAGCCATATATGGACATTGGTCCGATCTAGCCAGTTCCGACTAGTTATCCATATAGTATAAAAACCATTTGCCTACAAACAGGCAGTCACACAGACACGGCTAAATCAATCTAGCTTGTCGTTCTGTTCCGTTCGTTATGCATTTTGGTGGGTCTATTCTGGTATTTAAATACTTCGGACCAACGTTAATATACCATTTAATGTTCATGGAAGGTATCAAGCATTGCTACAAATTGGTGCTTTTGCTGTCATTCTGTTTGATGTGCAACAAACATTTTTAAACCAACCTATTGTATTAAATAATTTTAATATTTACGTTAGTTAATTTTTCTTTCAGTTGTTGCTATTGTGTTGAGATTTATATTGATTTTATATATTGTTATATTTATAATTTTGTATTTTCCACGTTTATTTCACTTTTTTTAAATTTATGCTTTTGTTGAACAACACTCTCTAGTAATTCAATTGGCTGTTGGCAGAATGACTCATGAGTTCCTACAAGTTGTTACATCTCATCATTATCATAACCTCTTCACTCATCATAACACATAAATGCATATAACGGAGTATGCTTTCAGATCAAAATTCATCTTTGCCATATCTATCCTAGTTGGTTTTCCAATCTGATTATCACATTTTCAAATCCTAATTTTTGTCTCAAATTTTCACGGTATCATAGTATTTGTAATTGTTTTTTTATCATATCACTTTTTGCTATCTCTCTCTCTCTCTCTCTTTGTCATTCGTCACAATTTTTCATTTACCATGCCAACATGCGCATTATTCGTTTAAAATTCATTACCACTCATTTATGTACATACATAATTGCATTTCGAAATGTGGAAATCGAATTGTATCATAACTCAGCAAGTGCAATCGGCAATGTCTCGGAGCGTCAAAGGGATGGTAAACAACAGCCACATCAAATGCCCGAAAGCGGTGATGACTATGAAGCCTACGAGACAGAGACCGATTTTGATGATATCGAATTTTATACAATACCGAAAATTCGTTTAACCAGCACACCCACAACGCCAACGTGCAGTAAAACACCAACCGCAAAAACATTCCGTTCGATTGTGGCCGTCAGTACGGCTGAGTCGGCTGTCGATCGGCCGCCACCCTTGAAACGTCGCCAATTTACAATTGTACGTTCACTAACGCCACAACAACAGCATATATCACCACATCGTCAATTAAAATATTTACATCAACGTCGAGTGGAAACACCGCCCACAGTAATCACACGCGTACCAACGCCATTCGGTGTTGCCGAGCCGCAATCACCGAAACTGCGACGAAAATCGTTGAATGCTTCACCTGCATTGCAGCAAACTACGGCAACCGTGCCAAGTACCGCTCAATTTGCAATTATACGGACACACCACCACCATCACCATCATCATCCACACCCCCACAATCACTCACATTCGAGTTCGCATCCACTTAGCTCCACACCACCTCCTTTGTTTTTTAACAAGGCGCCAAGGAGTGCTACCTTGGCATCGCCACTCACACTGTCCGCTGTGCCGGCAACAGTGGCAAACCCAACTACCTGCTCATCCGCTACATTTTCATCTGCATCTTCAACTTTCACATCCACAACCAACTCAGTCTCTGCCTCATCGCAAACTGAGAAGATTAATGTTTTTCCCTCTCATTGTTCCTCTAATAATCACAACAACAACAACAACAATAATAATAATAACAACAACAACACCGACGGTGCACAATCATCGCCGACAACGAAATCATCGACAACACCAACAACAACGATTATTAAAAAATTAATTACAATTAAAAACGGTTGCTGTTCGAACAACGACAATACCAAAGATGGTTCAAACAGAAACTCATCGGCACCACGCTCCACCATCCTATGCGATCCGTTGATTTTAGAAGCCGCAGTTAAAGACGTGCAAAGCAATGAAATTGATGCGGAGACAACTCGCTTAGAGGTGTGCTCCACCGCCAAAACACCAACCGGCACATACCAGCAACTTTCCGCGCAGCAACAACCCACGATGCTCGTCATCACCGATGGCCAGCGATATGCCAGCGCTACGAGCACGCAGTTGGTGCCGAATAAATTGAAGAAGTTGAGTGCTGGCGGCGAAAGCAACAGCCCAGCCACCTACACTTACGTTTTAGCCACCAATAACAGCATAGGCGGAAACAAAGCCAACAATAACAATATCAATCCAAACGCATTAAACATAAATTCCAAGCCGAACACGACACCAATCAGCCTAAAGCATCCAAACAACGTGGCGACGACCACTTTGCGTCCGCTGTCACTGATCAGCGTGAACTCGTGTAATAAAATTACACTCCCGGCGAATGCACGAATACTGGCCGCTACTACTTGCCCGCCTAAAAACAAGGGCAACGGTAATATTGTAGCCATGGGCGCTGGCAGTGTAGTAAGCGGTGGCGGCGGAGGTGGAGGTGCAGGTGGTGCGGTGCATTTCGCCGGTAATCCACCGCCAATAGGAAGTACGCTTACGCTGTTGAGCGCAGCGCCAACGCTGGCGACCGCCACAACTCGTCTCAGTGGCCATAGTGGTATTAATAATGGCAACAATGTCATTACCATTACTAATGCAACTAACAACAACAATAATAATAATAACAGTAGCAACAAAAACAATAACAACCACATCAATAATATATTCACTTTTAGCAGCAACGACACAATAGCAACAACAACTAGTGGTGGTAATGCCACCTTCAATGCAGGCGCCAACAGCGTCAGCGGCGAAGGCAATGGCGCCAGCACATCGATTTTAATGTTCAACTCAAATATAGCAACTGTTGTTAATTCCACAGCTGGTGTAGCCACCTCATCGGTGCCATCATCGCCAGCAGCGGCTAATGTGGCCATCAGTTCATCCGGCACTACATGTTTTACCAACACGCCCGTAATGACACCGACACAAATACTCGCGGCAACAACTGGTGGCAATGGCGGAATGGGAGGCGGTCAGAAGCAAATCCTCTTCACTGTGAACAATATGCTAAATCAGGTGAGGATCTCAATAAACGCCAAACCAAAATTGGGGAAAAATACAAAAATTATATATTCACTTTCAGTTCGCCATACTGCCAATGCAACAACAAACCGAAACAGCTGCAAATATGTCCGGCAACGGTAACCTTAATTGTGGTCCCATTAAGCCTATTCCAGTCTCCTATTCCAATTACAAAAAGAGCAATGGACAAACAGCTTTTGGTTTAAACACAAATATCGGCTCTGGAGGTAATCTACAAAATACTAACAACAACAACAGCTCAATTTTATTGCACAGTTATTCAGGTTCATAGAAAACAGACCTCATTAATCGTCTCTTCATATTTATGTTAACACTTTTTTCTTGCTTCACAGAGCCCACACCAAAATCACCGTCGTATAAGTCATTGCCCACCACACCGAAGTCAGCTTGCTCCACCTCTGCATTCGCTATGAATCCTCCTGACTCGGCTGGTAAGCGTAGCACGGATAGCAGCAATACCTCAGCCTTAGAAGCTGATGATGAGCCGAGTGTTCCACCAATGTCACAGCAACAATTCATTTTGGCACCAACACCAGCCCAATTAGGGCGTGCGAAATGCCCACGTCGCAAAAATGCAAGTACGTATTTGACGACTATGATTTTATATTTCAAGCAAATGAATTAAAGTAGAGAAACTTTTAAAGGCAGATAAAAAATAACTTGAGGAAAGAGAGAGCAAGCTAATGTAAAAATTCAATAAGTGATTGCCCACAGATCTGCCCTCATAATAATTTATTCTACTGTATAATCAATGGGGATATTTCATTTTTTACCATTACAGCTTCAAACAGTTTGGCTAATGATAATACAAACAATACAAACTCCTTCACAACATCAGCGCTCATGGCTGGCAATAATGCTGTAAAGAAATTAAATTCACCAATTATAGTCGATTCATCATCGCCGATCATCGGTAATGTAAACACCGTAGTGAGCTCCATAACATCGGCACTGCCCACACCCACTTCGTCCACCACAACGCCGAACAGTGACGAACAAATGCCAACCACGCCGTCGGCGGTTAACAGCAATAGCAGTTCTAGCACTGTAAGTGACTTAAGCGGCATGTTGAATCCCAAATCGCCAATAAAGTCAGCATCGGCAACCAAAAAGAAGAGCGATGATATGGATAAGTAAGTGTTGCTGTTAAACAAAGATAACAATTTTAAGCAACCATTTTATTTAAATTTTTGTATTTTTTAATTAAAAAAACTAAGCGTTCTTAAACAAGTTGATTTCGAAAAGAAATATCAGGCATTGCCGCAATTCAAGCCCGAGGATTGTCTATCGCCTAGCGCCATAGCAGTGCCGTCATCGCCGCGCGTATATGGCACAAATTATCGAAAGAAGAATCCGCCGCAGCCCATAGTGCCGCCAAAAAAGGGTAAATGACTATTTTAGGATATGCTATATACTACAGCTGGCATTATTAATATATATTTTTTATTTCTTTTCATAGTGATTTGTGAGGAAGACTCAGCCGCTGAGACGGCATCTCTGCCATCCACACCATCGCAACGTTTCTTTGGACCCGATTTTAATATTGAACAATTGAGTATGTTAATATTTATATATAATATATAGGATACACCTATATTAAACAAATTTTGCATATGTATTAAATTATAAATGTTTTAAGCAGATTTGGAAAATTCCGATGAGACAGATCGTTCACCACGCACACCACAAACCCCATTGCAAAGTGCTCGATCAGATGCCAGCGAAAAAGGTCATCGCAAAGTGCTGGAAATTCGTCGTAAATATGTTTATCAACTTTTCAGCGAACACGGCATGTTTCCATCAACGCAAGCGACAATGGCTTTTCAGGTGGGTGAAAGCAATTTTAAAGAGAATATTTAAGATTGACCACAACTGAACTTATGTTATTATTTTTCAATCTATCCCGGACGGATTGTCACATCTTAAACTTAGGCCTGAAACTAGTTAGTAGGATTTAAAGGATAAGTAAATTAATTTTATATTGAAAATATCCTATAGGAATTGGCACTTTTCTACATCAGCTAGCTAATTAATAATTACAACTGAAACTTATCCAAAAGGCGAACAGTTTAAATAAATAATCGATTACATCGCAAAATAAATATAGGATTAGCATAACAGCATAAGAGATATTCAAACATATAATTCACATTACTACTGTGAATTCCAACTTGGATTTCCATTCGGCATATTTGGTATTCTGCATTCCTTTCCTTTTCGATCTACCTTCGAAACTGACGCTTTTGTCCAATTCTGTCTATTATGCAATTCGTTCGCACTACGTTTTTCTATGTGTCAATTTAGTTGACAGAGGATGGGAAGAATTTATACTTTCGTGTACTTAATGCAATTTTTCCAAATTAATGAAATCATGCTGAGGTCTCTTTTTTTTTTTTTTTTTTTTGAGTAGCAATGACGCTTTTTGATACAACACAAGTACAACATGAAAGATTTTGTTAATACAAGGGCAACCAAAACAGCTATTTCCAAAGCTCCCGTGACTTGAGCACTGTTGTCCGACTTTACGATATGCGCCAACTTTAATGTTAGTAATTTGCATTATGAAAAAAAGTCATCTGATTACTTCTGGTTTATTAGTTCTTGAATGGCCCATAATAAAAATATTCATAAGGTGTAATCGCTGCGAACCAGTTGCAACATCTCAAAACTAAAAAAATAAACATATAAGTTTCCAAAGCAAAGGCTAATGCATGAAATCATAAATATATTTTTTTATATTGCTTTCATTTTTAATTGCTGTTTTAGAAAGAAAAGCTAACTTCAATTTAATTTTTTCTTTCGCTCTATTTTAGAAAAAACACATTGACGTCTTTCCACGAAAACAAGATCTCCAATTGAAAATACGTGAAGTGAGGCAAAAGTGCATGAGCCAACCCGGTTTCACACCGCATTCTGCCGGTCCTATGACACCTTCGGCTGACCAAAGCTCCTCTACTACGCCAGCAACAACAACAGCAGCAATGGCAACACTAAGTGGTAATGGCAATAGTGGAGACATATGTACGTAAAGCTACAATTAACTAAAATGATAAGAAACTACTATAATATATATGGGTGTGTATATATGTATATAACAATAAACTATTTTTCCATTGTATGTGTACATAGATGCTCAATCACAAACCATTGACGAATAAGAACTGGAAACTACCAAGATTAGACAGCCGAATGACGAGTAGTAGAAGAAATTAGTAAGGTAATACTAAAAACAGCAACAACTACTAGTGCTACAAAAATTGGCTAAGAGAAGAGATGATAATAAAGTACAATCAATTACAAAACTCAACGTGCCATGACAAACACAAACGCAATTATGCAATGAATGCATAAACAAATACTTAAAGAAACATACTGATTGTTTAACCAGTTGTTATAGTTGTTATCAAGGCAATGACAAGTCGACTTCGTAATAACAGTTGAGTAGGTCGTGCATGCACATGCTCAGGCATGCTGTATATGAACGTTGCAAAAGAGATAATTGCTCTATATATACTCAAGCATAGTAAAATTTCAAAAGATTTTATGTAGCAACAATGGAAAAATAATAATTATTAATTTGATCAAAAGTACAGGGGAAGTTTGAAAAATAGTAACAAGACACCATTACTTTTGACGCCAAGTTAATAGCAGCCAACTCTGGTAGTAATCTTGCATGCGCTAATGAAAACTACACAAACCGCAGCAAAATGTTGTAAGAGCTGATGAAATAACAAGTTCTGAGAACAAATTTCTGACAAGCAAAAAGAACGGTGTTTCATTCTAAGCAACAACACGGTGTGTGAATTAACTATTCAATGCCATCAATAGAAAATTAAACCAGCTACGCTAGTAAACAAATGCCAATATAGAAAGTAAATGCATAGGCGGCCAAAACGAAGTGAAAAGATGAGAGAAATATAAATGCGTATAAGTGTGATGTAAGAGTATCACAAAATCAGACACAAAATGAACAGCACAGGAAATAAACATATAGCAATCTTATTATAAGCACACCAATAAAAAAGAAAAACATATATTTACACATACATAATTAATAAGATATAAGAAACAAGAAATCCCAAATTAAAGCTTAAATAGATCTTTTTTTTATTTTAAAACGCATCAACAAAACTACTATTACTGCAAAGCATACAGGCATAGAAATAAATCTTTATTCAAAAAAGTAATCGATGTAATGAATTTAAACAAAAAAGTAAAAAAAGTAAAGAAAACTAAACAAAAATAAACAAAAAGAAAAAAATCAAGTGAAAAAAGTAAATAATGAAGTTAAAATATTGTATTAAAACACTTACAAACCAAGAAAACAAAATGAAAAATTGCACACACACACATATACACACACAAAAAATAGATATTAAATTATTAACAAATAAAATAAGTAAAGTATACAAATTGGTTGGCGTAGGATACACAAAGAAAAAATTATACAAATTATAATGATTGTAAAGAAAACAAAAAGCTAAAAATGTCTTAATAATAGTAAGACTAAACATTTTCAATTAAACACAGTATAAGATTCACATATGTACATCTCTGTGCATATGTATTTGCACTTGTAAAAGCAAAGATGTTGTAAGAAAGTAAATTATTGCTGAATACTAAATTTCTGTGCAACTATTTATACGTAAAGCAACAATATAACGAGAAAAAAAATTCAACAAAGATTAAGAGTTACAATTAACAAATGCAGGTTATGAACTTTATACATGTACACACAAAAATACATATCGCCATTGAATTATTAATAGCTAATTTCTTCTTTCTTAAGACGAACCTCTCTCTGGAGACATTTTCGGCGACTTGTTAATTTTGGTTGAAAATTATAAAATATTTACTGTTTTAATTATGTAACGGTAAAAAGGCGTTTAATTTAGTTTTTGAATCGAGATCTCTCCCTAGTACATAGTAAGTTTTTTTTCAACTGTTGAATGTTAGCGAATCATTAAAATATGAAGCGAAATCTAACGTGTGAGCCTTTATACGATGTAACCATATACATACAAACTAACATATGTGCTCTATATAGGCTGAATATGCAAATTTTAAACATTTTTAATTATTTTCATTTTATAAATTCTCGACCAACAAGTCAAGCGTTTTTTTTTTTAATTAATTATTTTAATCTGTTTCAATTTCCCACAAAATTCCTTTACCCCCTAAACTTATACGAGTATATACATAAGTTTTATATACGTTCAAGCAATTCTCCTTTCTTAATTTCTTCTGCTAATACCCTACTCCCGCTACATATAAGTATTGTAATTTTAATGCAAATTTTATTAAGAATCTATTGAATTATAATTTATGATTTTAACATTTCTTTTAAACTAAAACTTGGAAAACATAAATATACACACACACACACAACAGATGTCCGCATACCGTTTAAGCTCGAAAAAATATTATATATGAATTAGAAGGTGTGAAATTGAGCATATAAGCAATAATGGCTTTTATTTATAATATTTGTTAATCAAATTGGTATTTACTAAGTTAATTTGAAGTTGTTTGCGCCTTAAAGTTGAGAAGATACTTAAAATACACATATATATTCTTATATAGCCGTAAGGTATTTTTTATTCAACTGAAAATTGTTAATTTTTAGGAAACTTTATATTTTATTTTTCAAATTGGTAGAACCAAAAAGGCTATTTGTTATTTTTATGAATACAAAAAAAAAATTATAAATTTTTTCTTGTTTTTTTTTTTTTTTTTTTTTTTTTTGAGTACGCAAACTTAAATTGCCCAATAATTTAGGGAGAAAAATAAATAAATATGAAAACAAATAAAACACCACACAGATCGTAGTGTACGATTGTCTTCCACTAAAAATGTTGCAATATTTAAATTTTTCTTCTTTTTTTTTAAATATTTTTAATTAATATGTTTTTATTCAAAGTGGGTATACATTTTATTTAAATTAATGAAAAAATTCACGATTTCCACTCACGAATTTTATTTCACAGTAATTTATGAATTTTAAAAAATATACCGTCTTGAAATACTTATATAAATATGATAAAAAAAAAAAAAAAAAACTAGCTGACCATATAAGCCATTTCATTATTTGAATTTATCGGTCATACTTTTTCGTAAGTTTTCTTGTTTTCCAAACAAACAAATGTATAGTAAAATAAAAAAAAAATTAATTTCTTTTTAGCATGCATTTAAGACTGTATGATAAATTTTATGTAAACTCTATACATATACTTAGTTACTTTCATGCATACATAATGGCATATACACTCACACACATATAAATACGTGTGTGCATAGCATTGAGAATTTTCTAAATATTGTATTTTAGTTAAGTTAGATGTTTTAATTATTTTAAATAATTTTTTTTTTATTAATATCTCTTCTTGTTAAGTCAGTAATTTTTGCAAATAAAAATTTGTGAAGTAAAACTAAAGTCTCAAATATTAATGTCAGCTAAAAAATATTTGTTAACTAAACAAACATACATAAATACATAACACATATAGTTTTTTTTTAATTTAAAAAAGTAATAAAATGTATTATCTAGTAACACACACAAATACAAGTGTAGTACATACATATATAAGTAAAATGAAGCAAAGCTAAATGTTTAATCTTTTCTATTCCCATATATAAATAATATACACAGAATATAAAAACAAAAACGAAAGCAAAAACAAAATATTATAAATGTGTTTTTAGAGTGTTAAATAAATTTTGATTTTATGCATAAAATTATGAAATGTTTTTTTTTCTTTCTTTTCATTTCATTAAATTATAGTTTTTATTTTTAATTATTTCTATTGACTTTACCTTATCTTACGTTGCCAACACACCTCTTTCTGTAGCAAGAAATCTTTTTAAAAACATTACAATTTCCATTTCAACACTGTGCCAGAAATAAATTGTTATTAAAAACCTCTTCTGACCGTAATGCAGCGGTGAATGTGACGTCTGCTAAGATGCTGAAATTTCGCTTCAACTTCAAATTGTTTTTAAACCAAAATAGTTTGCACATTGCACACTTAAACTCAACTGAAGCATAAGTAACTCAAGATAATGTGCCAAGCGGAAGAAAATACTCTAAAAAAAAAAACAAATTAAAAAGAAACCCGAAAATAAAGTAAAAATATCAAAGCATAATATTTAGGTAATCATTCATAAATGTAAAAAAAATCACTTGCATTCAAAATATATTTACACAATTCAATTTTCGAAATATTGCAGGCATTATTTGTCCCTTAAAAGTGATCCTTGCGCGCAGAGACATTTCAAGAAAACCAATTAATGCTTTTTGGTGCTGGAATTGTATGCGTTCCAAAATTTAAATTAGATCTACGTATAATGAAAAGAATTTTGAGAAATTAAAGAGAACTTTTTGCTTAAATGAGATCACAAAAAATGGCACATTAGCAAAAAATTAGTATTACACTGACTAACAGAATTTTTTACGTTTTGGACCTATATGCTAGATTTTTCAAAAAATTAAATTCTCATTTAAGTTTGCTTTTGTACATCTTCTAGCCGATGTAAATCAGACAAAAAGTAAACTTTATGCGCTAAAAATGAAAAGTGTTTTCCAATGTCTAGAATCAGAGCTTAGGCATGAGTACAGAAATCCTTAGAAAAAATTCTTGTTATTCTCCTTGTAAAATAATTTATACACTCGCCACCACCGCACATATAATATAATTTTTTCCATTATTATTTGATGAGGCAATTAAATAGAAGATTATGCAATGAATCAAATAATCAGTCCGATGCTAAATATTACCGGGGAATTTTTGAGATATTCTTAATTCCGGGAGAGAACAAAAATAAGGACGAGGACATTTCGACAATCAGCTGTTTTTTGGTTGTTAACTAACATACCTAAATTGGAGCGTTCGGCGTTGCGTTTCCTAACGCAAATGAGTAGCAACGCGCGTTATACCCAAATAAGAGCGCTAACGTTTGGGCGTTTTCTCTTTCTCTTCAAATTCGTATTATTTTAAGAACACTTAATAAATTAATTGCATTTATTTCAAAAAAGATACTACGAACTTATTCGGTCGGCAAAAGTGTGCCTCCACCAGTTGAATTAATTTTTCACTAAATATCAATCATTTTATGTGTCAAATACAGCTTTTTTTTTTGGAAAATTTTTCTACCATCTGCTTATTCCTTTTCGTCAGTTTTTTTCTACTTTCTTTCACACTTTTATATCTTTTATATCTAACTCCATCATATAACGCGCTGTCAAAATTGAAAATTCCATTTGCTCAACGTTCAAGCCCATACAAATTTTATGGTCATGTGTATTTTTGACAATTGTGTAGCGCTCAACGCTAGCTGTAAATTAAAACTCTTTCATTGAGAAGTTTCGGTAAGAACTCAAAATTGCGCTCTCTTGATGTAAACTTTACTGGCATTTTGCCTCACCGAACGCGATGCAGTAAAATTCCGTAGCAATTTTTACTGCCCAGCTGCTCGCTGAACACACCTATATTATAAAGCACTGAAAATTTAAGTAAAATAAATTTCAATCATAAGAAAAGAAAGATGTGTAGAAGATGAAGAGCAGCGGAGTAATACACCTCCAAGGCTCCTTAAAAGGACCTTGCGCGATTGCGCATTTTGCCATTTCCCCGCTGATAAAGTTGAGTGATTTTTTAGATTTAGGGTTTTTGCTGAAGGCGCTTACGAAACTGGGGTAAGCAAAAATTCTACTGTCTCTCTCGCTCAGTCCACGTTCAGCAAAGTAGTTCCATAAGTGCTGGATACATTTGAAAAAAAAAAAAATGTTTTCACGAAGTGAAAAAATGTTCCGGGCACAGAGGATGAAAAGCGTAAAATTACCCTTGGATTCTACAAAAAGCACGGCGTTCCTGGCTTGAATAAAATCAATAGTTTTGTTCGTTGAGAAAGTTGCGAATTCGTGCTGGGAAACTTTGATCCAGTAAAAACAGCTGCTTTGTCATTCAAATAATTGTAGTTCTTTGATATCAATGATATGCCAACAAAATAAATGGTTAAATGTAATGTTGTTTAATTCAATTGAGCACCCTTGTGGTCCCACCAAATACATAGCATAACCTTGGCACCATGGATATTCGGCTTTGCCGTGGATGTCGATGGTTGGCCGGGCTTCACATACGATCCGATCTCTTGCGCTTTGGGTTATCATAATTGATCCATTTTTTCATCGCCAGTGACAATCCGTTGCAAAAATTACTTCCAGTT